ATGTGAACATCACAGACTGTTTCTCCATGAATAGACTGCTGGTATGTGCTGTGCGCCTGTACGTCGCCTCCTTTGTGTTTTAACTCTGGATCTTCACTAAACGCGTGACAAACACATCAGGGTTTAATACGTGAGTGCAGGAGCGGCGTGGCATGTTTTCATCACCAAACCATCAGGCCGCAGTCGCAACATCTTATTAAGAAACGCCTCAGCCTGTTTTTTTCTAAAGTGACAGTAAGAGAGTAAGATTTTAGCAAATATTGCTTCTTTCTTCTCTTTTAAATCTAGATATAGTGTAGATGGAAAGGCCTTCATGTTCAGGGATTAGTTCTGTCCCTGTAGGCCTGAAACCAACATGCAACGTCTGTCTGTAAAGTCCAGGAGAACATGCTTGTCACAGAATGGCTGAAGAAGGTATACATAAATTCACTACTTTATGGTGAATGAGTCCAGGACGAGCTGCAGCTGATGAAGCTAAAGCTTCAGGGCTGGAGTACAGAGAGAATAAATACAATACGCAGTAACATCAGGAGGTCTCTGAAGTTCTGCTGTCGTCACCACACGCAGAAACAACCATAAGGTCAGCTGACTGGAGCATCAGCAGCAGAGATGGATTTGTCAGCACACTTTGCGTTCTGCATGTGAAGCAGGTTGTGCTGGTTGATGTTGTTTGTCAACGCTTATGAAGCATAAAGAAGCTTCACATGTGAAAACAAATCCCCACGACGCCTTCTCTGCTGGTAGATGGCCAATGTTTGGTTTGTTGCTTCTTCTACCAGGTTTGTTGGTGGTTTTGTCTCTGGCTTCTTCTACTCTGTTTATTCCAGCCATGTACTCTCTACCGCCCCCTTCTGGCGACACAGTGCAGCGCTGTGTAGCCCAGTTCATTTACTCAGGTAGAAGAAAACACATCGTCTGTAACTCGGCACATTTTAATTAAAGCAATCTTCAAAATCAGGCTGTTTTTGTTAGATTTTGTGGGAAACAACGGACAGAGCTGGATATAGATATTCATTTACTGCCAATGATTCGCGGCGCTGGATCAGCTGATGTTGCAGGACTGCTCAGAGAACAGGACACGTCTGAGGACAGCATCTGTGACTGGAGACATATTATACATCTTATAGCTCTGTTAGTCTGGTTGGTTGGTCTATTTAGTTTTTTTTTCCACTCCTGGGCTAAACAGAAAGCCCTTGTGCTGTTTCCAGACCTTCCTGCACTTCGTGTCCATAACCACTGCTGATGATGTGGTTTTAGTGATCGAGACCTGTGTCACAGACGTGCCATGTGCACGGTGAGAGGTGCGTCTTAACATTTCATGACCACTGTTCCCAGACTGTTAGCTACGAGTCCAGTTCTGGCTCTGGTGTAAAGAAAAAGAAAGAAGAGAGCCACGGGGACAGAATCAACAGATTTCCATTCATGGGTCACTTACATAATCTCATTTTTATTTAATTTGTCCTCATTCCATTTTCCACACCAGTCCAATTAAAGATGTAAGAATGATTTCGGGCTGGTTCCAGATGATGAGCTCCCTCCTGTGGTTCCTGCTGGCCCTCGCTGTCGCTTTGTTGTTTCTGCTGCTGTTGCTCCTCATTTCCATCAGCTTCTGTGGACATAAACACAACTTCAGCATCCACAGCCTGTACACTAGTCAGACGTAATGACGTTAGCTTAGCCTCCATGTCAGCCTAACAGCCCCGTGTGGTTGTGTCTTTGTGAGGCTCTCTCCCCAATAACACAACACGGTGCACAACCCACACTGGGCTGCTGATCACTGGTGTTAACTTACTGCAGACGGATGCTGTTAGATGCAGCTACACTTCAGCCTTGGTTTTCATTAGAAAAGAATTAGCTGGGAGAAGCTATGAGTTGGGTCTGTGGTCGGGTCTTTATGTGGCGCGCTGCTACCAGTCAATGTGCTCCTTGTTGGCCTTACAGAGGAGGAAGAAAAAGAAAGACTGGGGGAGAGGCAGAAAGTGAAATGGGAATTAACAATGAGAAGAGCGATCAAAGCGGAGGAGGGGGATGGACCGAGCGTAACTCAAGGAAACATGAAAACATTGGAGGGCAGAGGGCAGGAGGTGAGAGGGATGGAGGAGAGACGGGAGGCCGAGTGACAGATGAAGTGAGAGAGAAAGGACTTCAGTAGCAGCGAGGCCGACTTCACATCACGGGAGGAGAGAGCTGCTGCTGCTCCGCCATCTTGTAAAATGAGACAGAAAGAATAACAGCAGGGTAAAGAATGATGGAGACGAGGGCAGTAAGATTAAAGATGTTCTGGGGATCTGTTGTTTAGGTTGGTGTAGATTTAGCAGACAGACAGACAACAGCTCAGGAATGGAGAGTGTTTGGATGTTAACATGAGCTTGTTGTGTTTCAGTGGCAGATGAGAGCAACGTTGGAGCCACGGCTGGAAACGCTGCAGGTGAGCAAACGCACCGACACTCTGACGGGATCGATGTAGTCCACGTAGAGAAGATACGGAGACACACAACTGCAAGTTCTACGGACAACACTGGTATCAGTACATGATAGGAAACAACAAGAGACGTAGAACAGGGTGAGGGTTAGACCAGGAAGAGACCAGATCGAGCTGATTGACCTGAAAATAGAGAGAAAAGGAAATGAAAGAAAGGCCTTCTCCATATGAGGGCTTATCATGGAAACATACCGATGATGCATTTGTTGGTGTTTTATTGTTCACATTGAAGGTGTTCCACGTGCACCTTCACACGATTCAAAATAAGGCTGTTAAATTCAAATGAAACCTTTTTTTATTTAAGTAACTGATTACTTTCGTTATCGACTGATGTTATCATGACCATGTGTTCGGCCGTCTCGTTAGAAGTCAGTGAGCCGCCCAAACCTGAGTACAGTACATGTGACCAGAGTGTGTCCAGTAGAACATGTTCTCCTCCTCCTGCCTCTCCTCCATCCCATTTACATGCCACTTCATTCCTGTCCCCTATCCACCTGGCTCCTGGAGGAGGAACCACTCGAGAGACGCAGGGTGCAGATGGAAGTAAAATTTGCTGAAGGACTGGAGAGAAAAGAGAAAGGCGAGACTATGGCCTCTACTGAAAGGCAGCCTTTGACGAGATTGTTCTTAATGGTAATAGAGAAAAGGAGCGGGAGTGGGAGAGGACACACTCCTCTACAGGAAAGCTCAAGTGCAGGGAAACAGAAATGGCTGCTGCTTGGAAAGCTCTCACCTTTGTTCCCTACAAACATCTCAAACTTTTCTCTTTGCCTTGAAGTTTCCCCGTTTCATTTGTGGCTCCTTCACTGTGAGAGCACTCTGGTTCTGCTTGCTGTGAGCCACCACTCCAGCCTTCTGTTGTTCCTCCACATTCTGGCCCAGCTGACACCCGGCGGTACAGATGTTTGTTTGTCAGGTCCAGCGCCACCCTCAGGATGCGAGCAGCGCGACAGCAGGAGCATAAAGACGAGATTCAGAAAGAATGCAGTAAAGCAATGCGTTTTATGAGTGAACATTAGGAATAATAACACAAACTGTCCTTTTCCTCTAATGCTAAGAAGATGAGAGGAGCTTTTTGTTTTCATCTCCTCATGTTGGCTTTGTAGCTGTAGTCCAGAGAACGGGCCGTATGAGCCAGAACCTGGGCCCGTGGTTGAAGCTGTTCTGCACTGATGTTAAAATGCAGACAAGAGAACGTCTTGGACACCAAAAGATGACATCTTCAGAGGGACTGAGATGTTAAGACGTGGAAGAAGAATGAAGTAAAGACATAAATACTGTCATGGGTTGGTTCCGTTTGCCTGAACTCTTCCAGAACTACGCTTTGGACTGAGAGCAAACGGCTGTTTATACGTTTGTTCATGTTGATCGACTCTGCCGACGCTTATCGATGGTTGGCAGATGTACGGTGAAGTCCTCCCTCCTGATGACTGGTTTGTGCTCCAGTCCGTAGAGATCACATCTTGTCTCACTGCCGGGTTGGACTTAGAGACACAGAGCGCGCTCGGAGATGGAATTTGTAATTTAGGGTTAAAGACTCTGACAACATGATGGAGCACGGAGGCCACATTTACCTGTTCTTTAATTTTAATTATTTATCCTGCTGCTCTGTAGACAGCAGCTGGTACCCCAGATGCCCGTCTAGAATAAGAGATTTAGAAAGATTGGCCCTTTCTCTAACTCTGTTTCCATCGGCTGCAGTTTCTACAGGCTCAGATAATGAGAGTTTAAGCAGGTGTAACTGGCTGGTTTAGTCCACTGCTGCATTATCTGTTAAAAACAACCTGCAGTTTTATCAGACATATATGTGACCACAACCTTTCTGGTTTAGCTTCTCCTTTCATTTGCCTGGTGAATGTCCAGTAAAGCCTCTAAGGCCTCTTTCTTTGATTTCCAGACTCTCTCTTTCTTTTAGCTAAAGCCTATTTACACGTTGGCTGTACCTGTTGCTTGTCAGCGTGTCTCCTGTTTTATAATGCCACAGAGCCCAGAGAGCTGTTAAACAGAGTGTGTGTCTGGCAGGCCTGACAGCTTTTTCCATCCCACTTTCCTTTGCTCTAATGTATTTTTTATAACTGAAACTCTGCGCCGCGCCGTCAGACAGCTGCACGGACTTTGGTGAGAGCGCCGAGCGCGGGGCGGGTCCTGGGAAACCAGCAGTTTAAAGACAATGACTTCTGGGAATGCTGTTTCCAACTTCCAGCGCTGGTCTGTCCCTCCACACCCCGAGAAACCACCGGGCGACTGCGCCACAAGCACACACACACACTGACACA